GAACTAATCACTCATCTGTGGATGTAGGCTTCCTCACATCCTTCTGTCTCTTCATGTAATCCCAGACACACTTGATGATGTGTCGAGTGTTAACGAGCTAACTGCGCTAACGCGCTGATGCCGTGCAGCCCCACGCACAGGACGATCCGTGCTAACTTGTGAACGGAGATTTTCCGCGTTAATGCAGTTAACGTTAACGTTGTTTCATTACTAATGATAAAGAAGAAAACGCACAACAAAATAGCTGCATGGCCCTTAGCTATGTTCAATAAAGCAAAGACTCTATTTCTGTTTTATACACTGGCGGGGTGTGGTTTGGGGCTCTGTTGCATAAGAGGGGTGGTGCAGTGGGTTGAGCACCATAGAGGCTGGCAGGGCAGGTAGGCTGGCACTGATTGAGTAACTTAAACAGTACCAGCTGTTTAACCACACCTCGCCACAATGTATAAAAACAGAAAGAAAGTCGTTGCTGTACTGAACATAGTCATAAATAACTAACAAGAAATTCATTTTCTGTTCTCAGTGTTATACACTGTTGTAGATTGGGAACCACTTTACATGCTTTACATCTGGCTGGTGCTCACTAATATGTTCCTGTTTCTTTGGTCCAGAGCAATGTATATTCAGCTTCAAGAGCCAACAGGAGGCTATAGAGAGAGCAAATAACTCACACACAGTATGGCCTAGTGTCAGCAGTCTTTACAAAAAGTGTGGACAAAGCTTTATCTGTGTCTGCAGCACTGGAGACTGGCACTGTCTGGTAAGTCCCTTAAAGTCCCTGTTTATGGTCCTAACAGCAGAGGGATGTTCAAGTTAAAGTTTGTGTAAATGAACATGAACACTGGTTAACTATAATGTTAAGCTTTGCTTATTTCTACTCAAACTGAAAACCAAACAATTAAATATCAGTAAATGGTTTATTTATTTGATTTATACCATGGATGGGCTGTTGCAAAGGTTTGTATCTTTACTGAACACATGAAAGAACTGACAGTCAATAAAAAGAGACCCCACTCCCCCAGACTCCCTTTAGAGGGTATAAGCCTCAGCTGTTTCATCACTCATACGCTTTCATTATATTTATTGGATCTGAAGTTTCTAACTTTTCTCATGTGTTGTCTCTGTCCGCTCAGTGGAGAATATGCTATGCTGAATACTCTGAGGTGAAAACCGTGACGATCAAAGTGAAAGAAAACGTCTGAGAAGAACTGGGAAAATCGAGTGCTCTGCACTTCCTGTTGCACGAGACCACATCACAATTCTCTAACACCCACACACTCCAAATTTTGTTTCAAACAAACTCTGCTGAAAGCAGTGTAGGGGCAATATATGAGATATCAGAGCGCTAAAGGGTCCACTTTTGTTTTTGTCATAGGTAAATGTATTGTGGCAGCACATAAATCTGATGATGTCTCATTTCATTTTTCAAAGAATACCCCAATAATTTATTGTGAAGCTCCATGGAAGTACAGTGAGTTCTGTATATTGTTTGAAATTAGAAACTCGTTTAGGCAGGGAATTCTAGCTTATCAAAAGAGCACAGCACGTAAATTAAGCATGGAAAAATCTCAGTTGTGTGTGCAATCAAAGCTCACTTTGATCTCAATGATCCTAAGCTGATAAACTTTGGTCTGTCCTCGAAGATGCTGTCAGTGAGTTTGATTTGTTATTTGATTAGTTGTCTCTGCTCTTTTTTCAGGGTTCTTTTACCAGTGATATCATCAAGTGTGACTATCTAGATACAACAATCTATTGAAAGTGAAATTCTATGTGAGAAAAATGGATCAAAGAAAACAAAGAACCAAAAAAACAAAACAAAAAACACCTGAAAAGGCTGTCAGAGTTTTTGAAAGGGCATACTGTTCATTCCAAGTATTCAACTCTATTTATAGTTTGCTATGTTTGTAGAGTGCCAGTTCACCTTTGAACCTGTAGTTAAGGTTTCTTAGTCAGAAACTCGGTCTATACTCCATGGGAAAAGTACAAGAGACAGATGTGATCTTTTCTGCCATGTGACTACATAGATGTGTCTGTTCTTTTCCTTACAGAAGGTTTTATGAGAGACACAAACCAATAAAACATCCACAAAGTCATTCGTTTTTATTTGGGAGACTGGGCAGAAATACCACACATTTACAGTATTCCTGATGTATGCAAATTGACTTTTTTGTTCTGACCGAATTTAATCTAATATGAATATTTGCTGCTGAGGAGGATGCTCATTTCATTTCAGATATAGATAACCAAATGTTTCCAGTCCTACACAAGGTAATATTGACCTTGCCTTTTACATTTCAGCACTGGTCATAGCACGAATGTTATCATTGCATAAGTAGCAGCACTTGTTTTCTCATACTTTTGTACTTTTGATAGAAATTCAGAATGAACAAAATAAAATACAACTTTTGTGAGCCTCTTTTTATAAGAATGTGATTTCTTTATATCTGAAGAGGCTTTAAGGAAGTTGGCCAAATGAATGATAGTGGAGAGATATGAAGGACATTTATGACAGGTAATGAATTCATTTGATTAGTCACATCTTCCAATGATTGAATGTCCCAGCAAATTAATTCTGAGGTGAGACCATGTGATTAAGACTTATTTGAAAGTGTTTCTTCTCTAAAAAGAATATGGCAGCATGGCTTAGGTTTGCAAAATGTCATCTGATCAAGCCACAAGACTTCTGGAACAATTGTCTTCAGACAGACTAGAATAATAAATGTGTTTTTAGCCATAATGCACAGTGCTACATATGGTGAAGCTGAAACACAGCGCAAATACCTCACATCAGCTGTCAAATGTAGTGGCGAAAAGGTGATGATTTGTTCTTGTTTTGCAGCCACAGGACCTGGCTCCTTCCATTTATTGAGTCAAGCATGTTATATGGGACCATAAACACATAAAGCATATTAAGGATTGTACATTAACATATTTTATTGTGAAAACTGTTGTCAGAACCATACTGAATTTAACCAGATAAACTTCTCCAGTCCGAACGACATTCCGATGTCACTGCTGTATATCCTGGTGCTGTGGATCAGTGAATGTATGTCTCGTTCACTCTTGACATACAGCTTGATGTCATCCATGCAGAGGAGCTGGCTGATGATTGCTCCATTTCCTAGTCGGCAACCAGTCTTGTTAATGATCTCACTGAGGGGGTTCAGGCCCATGCAGAACAGCAGTGGACACAGAGCATCTCCTCGGTAGATCCCGCATTTGGTACTGACTTGTGCTATTGACTCGAAGCTGGCCCCTAGCATTGTACGCCACATCCACATTGAGTTCCCCATATATTTATGTATATATACATACATACATACATACACACTAGGGGTGCAACGATACACAAAATTCACGGTTCAGTTCGATACTTTGGTGTCACGGTTTGATATTTTTTCGGTACAAAAAAAATGTTCATGCCTTTTTAATTTGTCATTTATTAAAATTATAAATATATATTTTAACTCAAAAGTACCTATCTGATGGAGAAATCACTCATCTTTGGAAAAGAGAGTTTATTACAGAGAAATGGCTCTTTCAAAATAAAAGCTATACTATCCGCTTCTTCTGGGCTATATTCTCAGCAGCATATTAAACATATCAGGTCCCCATAAGGAGAATCCTGTGCTAACGGCTGTCTAAATGACTCGGGTAAAGTTTGTAGCATGCGTGCTTGTTGTTTTTGTCTGCTTCCACTTGTCTTTGCACGAGGATGATGTCGGAGTAAATGTGCAGTCATATTCAGAGAGAGAGAGAGAGAGAGAGAGAGAGAGAGAGTATGCAAACGGCTAACAAGCAGCCATTATGATTCGTCATACAATGACAATAGGAGGCAAATCAACAATCAGTGTCTGTCTACTGCTTACTAAGATAGACCAGTGGCTAACAAACGTAAGCAGAAATGTTATCTTGTTCAGGATACATGTTATACATAATACCTGTCATTATCCAATGACACATCTGCTTACCTGTATCTTTTGCTAGTTTCTCCTCCTCCTTTTTTCTCTGTTTTCTCTACACTGAGCACCTGATGGCTTTAACCTTTTCTTGTCAATCTTCCGCTGGTGTTCATTTTGCACTCCAGTATCAACACCCATCCCCAAACCCGAAAATCACCACAACATAACCTAACAGACCTACACCTTAGTGCAGAGATTCGATTAGTATAGGGGTTTTTTCTGGGATTTCGTACAGCCCAGGAAGAAATAATTAATACATAATAGGCTTGGACTGACAACATTATGAATGAAATGTGCTCTATTTGGAAGCACCCTGCCCCCTCCCCTTTCGACAGGTTGTGTGATAGACCTCAGCAGCACAGCATCGGCAGCAAGCAGGCGCACTGAGGGCTCACTTTTCGCATATGTGTGACAGAATTTAGAAAACACATCGGTGCAAATTATAAATCTATATCATAATGTATTCTGTTTTTGTGGTTGTTGCTTTCTTTTATTTACTTTTATTTTGCGAGCTGGTTATTAAATGCCAGAGAATCCCTCGCCCCTCCTCCCTGTGCGGCAAGCAGCAGGCGCACCTCGCCGTGTCGCCCATATCAAAAACACCACTGTGTGAGGCCATCAATCCACGAGACCAAGCTTAGGTTAAAACTGGATCATGCAACAAAACAACGATCCCAAAAACACTTATCAAATCTGCACAATCCCTGAAAAAGAAAATGCCAATTTCAGACCTCAACAGGTGTTCTGGGGAACCATCCTAACCGTTGTTTTTGCGCATGCGCACAACACGAAATTAAGTGGCGAACCGTCCTACCTTTGTGAATATGAGCTAGAATCATACTTGAACCGCTAAAAGTCAGTGCCAAACCATGCTATCTTTGTGAATGTTACCTACAAGCATACTTTAACGGGTAAAATGAAGTGGCAAACCGTCCAGGCTTTATAATTATGAGCTACAAGCATACTCTGATGGGCAAAAGCGTTTCTACAAGCCTTTACAACCTTATTTTGAAAAACACACCAGGCATCCATATTATTTTGAAAATTAATACCGGAAATCTCTGTGTTAAACAACCCGACTGCTCAAAATTCGTCCGGAGTGGAAAGTTTTTTCGTGGAATCAGGAAGTCCAGTAAAAGATTGTTGTGAGGTAATCCGCGGCTGGTATATACAGCAACGCTGCAAAACCCTCTCTGCCTCTCACTGGACCTTTCAGGCATGCGGTAAGTTGGATATTAATGCGGTGCTAAGACGTGCTGTGTCTCGTGGTAAGCAGGAACCACTAACTCAGTTGTCGTGATTTGTTTTTTTAACTCTTTTTTTGACAGAGTTACTGTTAAAAAAAAAAAAAGTAACAAAGCTGTTTTTCAAAGTCTGCCCCATTTTCTGTGACATGTCCCACAAATGGAAGCACTTTGTGTTCCAGCAGTCATTGTTGTTGTTGTTGTTATTATTGATGTTATTCAGAAGTTGGCTAGGGATATAAAAATTGCTGCGCAGCTACACACGGCAGAGACATGCACAGACTGGCTACAGTCACAGTCGTTATACCTCATGTTGGCACTCCAGACTAACGCTAGAAAATGCAGCATGGAACACATGCAGGGGCCTGTCCTTCCAGCTTTCTGTTGCCTGAGGTATTTACTAAGCACAGTTATAGGCCATCTTCCAGATGCGCACATGGATGTTTGGTATTTCATGCTAGATAGTGGTTATGACTCCCACTAGTCCTCAGTCTCCTCCTTTCCGTTTACAGTACAGTCTCAAGGTGCTGGACTTGGGGTGAAACTCTGTAAGGAGCCTCCTTGTCTGTGCTTCCTATGGCCAACAGGGTATCAGACTAACAGTAGGGTGTAGGCGTAGATTGCCCAGATCTTGTCCTTCCCAATCATCCGACTTCTCGGGACATTGCCTGACCCTCTGCAGGTATTTGGTGTTTGTCGCTTTCCTAGTAGTCTCTTCATGGTTCCCATTTGCCTGTGCGATTCCCAGGTGCTTGTAGCTGTCCTGTGTGACTGCAGCGTTGTCTTCTGGTTGTGCGATTCCTCAGTTTTGACTATTAACAACTGCTGTAGTTGGTAGAGCAGGGCGATATGACCAAAAATATTTATCAGGATATAGGGCTGTTCGATATAACGATATATATCGGATGATGATATAAAAACGTCTATCATTTCAATTTACGCTATCGTTTGTTTCGTGGTGTCGCAAAATAAACTGTTTACAGCGATATTTCTTCATGGTTTTGATGGTGACTGTAGTGGCTGTATTAATTTAAGTTCTCTCTTTCTCTTATATTTAATATAACCATCGTTGTCGTTGACGCTAAAACCATCGCGTGTCCGCTTGTTTATTTTCCACATAAACCTTTCACAATAAAGCTCGAGATCCTGTTAAGACTTTTCAAAATAAACTGAATCACGTGAAAGAGTATGCAGAATATTTACGGATGAAAAGCAAAAAAGAGCCGCCAGGTGCTAAAAAATAAACCTTAGACTCAAACGTTAGAACAGGCTTTTCCCCGCAGCACGCCGTGTAATAAATACTCACAAAGAAAACGGCGCCGTTACAACTTATGTCTAAAAATGTGTCGTTTCATGCATCGGTTAAAACACTCGACTCCAGATACATGATGCGCAGCTGGAAACACTTCACGCAAGTTGAGATTCACAGACTTTACAGCAAATGTTACATTTTTGTGATTTATATCGTTATCGGACGATAGGTGTCTTATATCGGGATATGAGGTTTTGGTCATATCGCACAGCCCTATCACGTTATACATTTGAAAATTTGCGATAACGATATAACTGACGATATAATTGACACGAGACCAAAATATTTTACAGCTCCACAACTTTATTAGTGAAAAAAACAAAACAAAACCCATCAATGTATTTTCACTTAAACAAGCAGCTGTTTTTTATCTGCATTAAAGTTATATAAACATTTAACAGTGCAAACTCCTCGCTGACAGTTTAACCAAAAGGCATTTCCAGTGGAAACTGGCCGACACATCCTCAGCATAACCATGTATAACATCCACAAAACTTAAAAAGAGGTTATACACACACAATACGGTAACATTATGTTGAAGCACAGTACGTATCACTCCGAGGCTCCGCCTACGATAGCCGTAATGCTCCGACAATCCATCAAGCGGTGCGGCTTCGCAGCTTAGCAAAGTCGCCGTGTACATAAAACCGTTTCGAGGTCAGCAAACACAACCAGAGTTCATACATAAGGCACACGGGATTATAAGGGGCTCTGTCGACTTTCAGAAAAATCAAAGGATGATTTTAAGTGCGCCGTATTTTCCAAACAACACGGTAATAACGACGGCCCGCTAGCATGCGCTACCAAAAATAGTGCTTTGTTGTGTATCTGACGGACGAAAGCTAAACCAGTTCCACACCAGTGAAGCTGCAGCATTTTTACAAACCAGTTCTGGTTCATCCGTTTCATTCAACGATCCACTTTCGCGGATTCACCGACATGCTTTTTCCGCCATGTGCGTATGTAAACAAAGGCACTGTGCATGCGCATTTTACCCATATTCTATCGCGATATTTCTTTTTTTTTTATCGTTGCCCAACATTATACCGGTATTACCGTGAACGGTACGATGTGGCCCAGCCCTAGTAGTCGGTGTCCGTAGCCAGTCTTGTCATTGCCCTCGGTCAGGGCTCAGGCCTATGCAGGACAGTACTGGTGACAGGACATCTCCTTGGTAAATCCCGCACATGGCAGCTTGTGCTGTTGGCTTGAAGTTGGCCTCTAGTGTTGTTCGCGACATCACCATCCTTTTAGTGCTCTGCTCATGTAGTGAGCCATATGTCTGTTTATCTTAGGCGCTATGATGCCTGATAGGACATTACATGTGGTCCTGAGGCAGGTTATTGGCTGTTAGTTAGATGAAACCGGTTCCTTCTGGGGATCCTTGGGGATCAGAATTGGAACACAGACACAGCAGCTTGGCTTCCTCTCTACCTCTGTTCCTCCATCAAACACACGTGGTTATTGATGATGTGAGTCCTGGTAGGAGTAGTAGGATAATCCTACAGCACCATACTTCTTGCTCATATTTAGCCATATCATGTCAAATGTATAGGGCAACGCTACAATGTGCAAATGGATGACAGCGTGTTGACTGAAGGCAGAGAGAACCGCAAGCAACAACAATAATAATGGATTGGATTTATATAGCGCTTTTCATGGCACCCAAAGCGCTTTACAATGCCACTATTCAGTCACTCTCACATTCACACACTGGTGGAGGCAGCTACAGTTGTAGCCACAGCTGCCCTGACAGAAGCCAGGCTGCCATATCGCACCATCGGCCCCTCTGGCCAACACCAGTAGGCAGAAGGGTAAAGTGACTTTCATCCAAGTATTAAAAACAATCCATATTTAATGATTTTATGTATTCTGTTAAATGGGCCAATAAGATTTTTGTTAAATTGTTGCCTGCGCTTCACAATTTCTCCAAATACTAAACATTTCATGCAATGCCTTTGTTCAATACTTTGAATTCAACCTGAAAGTCTGTTCTTTGATTTTGATCTTTTAGCACACTTAGTTGTTGTTTGGTATTATTCGGGCTGTACAGCTAATTGTGCCTAATCAACTGGTAGAATGACCTTTTTTAATGAATTCAAAGAGTATGTGTTTGTTCTACATCACAGCAACATTGTCTGTGTGCAGGCTGACAGGTATATTTAGGACTCCTCTTTCCTTTAACAGTGGTTAACCTAACTAGTAGCTCCAAGAAGAATGTCCTACTGGTCTGTTGGTCTTCACCGGGACTCTGGAGACATTCCCAGCAACATGGAGCAAAAAAGCAGTAAGTAACCTTCCCAGCATCTTATGTGTGTCTCTCTTATGTACATGGCTGGTTTGCTTTGTTTTCTTGATGCAGTCGTGGCCTCATGAGGCAGGTTGAGAAAGGACGTTACTGCAAACTGAAATGTAGCTATGTGTGAAGTGGCAGCAGCACTTCTTTCTTTTAGAAAAAGAAGAACTGAAACTATGATGGTTTCAAAAGTGTTATTTTTTGCCATTTGTATGTGAAGTAAACTCTGCACACTGACATCTCGCTTAACACATGTAAGCATCTTCTAGATTTTCTTCCTGCCAAATACAGCATGTTTCACTCTGCAGTGTGTGGCAAATGATAATAGATGACGTGGGATTAGGTAGGAGAACAGTGGAACATTGTAAACTGGTTTGTAGTCAGTTTGATTACTCTTTTTTCCCCCACTGTAACGAGGAACCTAATGTGTTTGTATCTTTTGACTTCCTGACTATAATACGACAGACATTCAAATTAATTCAGCGTTAAAAAAAAAAAAAAAAAAGACATTTTGCTTAAACTTTATAAACTTGCATAATAATATATAGTCAAAGGAGCTTGCAAAGAAAAGCGTCTGGACTTCTTTAAGTTGCTTGAAGACTCTCCACCATTTGACCTTAGAACTGAAGCAGCTTCTCGGATGAGAGGTGAAACGTCTTCAAGCAACTTAAAGAAGTCCAGACGCTTTTCTTTGCAAGCTCCTTAGACTACAATGACCTGGATGACTGAGAACCTTCACAGACATAATAATATATAAGTTAGGAACCCATCAATCTGGGCAGGTTTTCCTTATCACAAAGGAATCTCACCCAATAATGTAACACAGTCCTGCACATTACAGTTACAAAGCTTCTTCAGCTACATGTGTGCCGGGCACACAGAAAAGAAATGAATAAACAAACTTTATTAATCCCTGAGGAAGTTCATTGATCACAGTAGTGCGCTACTCCTACTCACAAAAAATAAAACATTCATCAGCCAGAGCCTGATCTTCAACAGGTAACACAAGCAGTGAGGAGCAGCCAGGGTTAAAGCCTATTTCTACTTGTTCATGGTTCTGAAGTAGAATCACTGTGGCGGTCGCTTTAAAGTATCTTTGGGCTGATATGCATGCTTGCTTTGTGTTTTACAGGTTCTGTGTTCATATGTGTGTAAAAAAAAAACAAAAAAACTGAAGGAAAGATTACATATCTGTCCTTACTAGGATAGAGATTTGTGTTGATGTGTGCAACTGTAACAGAAGGTTTGTTTTATAGGCTGGTAAATATGTGACAATGCGTTTTAGTTGATTTGTCAGAGTAACGAGAGAGTGGTGTAACAAATTACTTTCGCCAGCAAGTAATTGAGTAATAGACTGCATGAAGAAAAGTCAGAAAACATGTGTAATAATTTACTTTTGTGGAGTAACACTGCTGTTCAGGTGGCTAATTTCCAGAATTTTGGCAATGGCTCTAAATTGTTCTGTCTTATATGGTAGCATTTTTAGTGAAGTACATCACACCTTCATTACAGCCCAGTGTCCCAGTTGCACTAAAAATCCCCCACCCAATAACACTCCCTGGTTGATGCCCCCGCCCACTGGTGCATTGGTGGTTCTGTGTCTGGGTGCCCGGGTGTGTATTGGCTCCCTCCCAGCAGCTGTTTGCTGGGGCCTGGGTGACCCCCTCCTGGGGCTCTCAGCTCTTCTCTTGGTGGGTGGTGCGATTGCCTCTGCAGTCATCCTCTTTGGGCTCTTGTGCTCTGGGAACGTGTCTTAATTATGGAAGCTATCATCCAAAACAGCTTTTTGACTATAAATTTTTCCCCTCAGCTGTAGATGCAGATGGTTTATTGTCATCAACCCACGGAGCAAGCGGGTGGTATAGATGTCTGAGTTTGTGAATGCGATTACCAGAGTACAAGGAAACAGTAAATTGACACCATAGGTGAATCTAATTAAAAAAATCTTGGATGAGCTCGAATCTAAGTGACCTCGACCTCATGGTCAGAGGTCAAGTTTTCTGAAAATCTTGTGAATTGAATAATTTGATAACACAGCGACATGGGACTTTGAAATCTAATAGGGGGCAGCTCTGATGGTTGCCATTTTTCTTCTTCTTTTTTACAGCTGAGAAACTGTAATCATAACTTGTAGTTGCTGTTCGGTGGGCACTTTAACATGGTGATCTGACTTGTTTTTGGATCCAGCCTCTGGCGACTATACCTTGAACTGTGGATTTTGGCACTTCTATGCGAGCTTAATTTTTTTGGCCCAAATGTCGTCAAGTAGAGAACTGTGAAATGCTACGGGCTCATTAAAGTTATAAATAAAATTCTCTTTTTCACTTTTAAGTTTTGTTTTCATTTCCAGTTTTTGGCTACATTAAGACAAGCAGAACAATATTGTCATCCCTTATGTACCAGGTTTGTTAGAGAAACTCATGAGTCTTTTCCAAGCACAACATCCCAGTGTACTTCAGACTCAGCCACACACTGAGATAGAAATTGGTTCATCCGAAAGAAAAACACTCCCAAAAACAAACGTAACAACAAGTGTATGCTGTACAGTGCAGCGAGGAATGCTCAGACCAAACAGCCACTTCATAAACACATGGCACAACACACAACGCCTAATGCCCACTCACATCTTGGGTCATTTGATCAGTAAGTCAGATGATAGGCTGGGGCAAGGTCTCACAATGGGTTCACCTGAAACCTTGGGTGATTGTGACCCACACCCGTTTTCACACTTTGGCTCGTGTGATTAGGCAGAGGATCAATTGGGGGTCCAGGACCCTCTTAGGATCACTCCTAAAAAGCCTTAAATTTGGGAGTCTCCACCATTTGGTCTTAGAACTGAAGAAGCTTCTGGGATGAGAGATGAAACGTCTTCAAGAAACTTAAAGAAGTCCAGAAACTTTTCTTTCCAAGCTCCTTAGGCTAATTCACTGTACAAATTTGTCAATCTTTGTTTACACTTGTAGATCATATAATATGCATTTGTAATGGTTTTGAGGGGTATTTCTCTATGGATGCATCAGAGACCAACTCGCGGTTTGTATCTTGGCCAATGATACTTGGCATGCAAATGTGCAAGTGGAGAAAAGTAGTATTAAATATTTTTTTAAAATACACATTGAAGGACACATCCTGGTCAAAACCAATTCAAAGATTCCTGACAGTGTTCGTGGAGGCCAAGTTTATGCCACCCAGAGTAAGTATCTGGTTGGATACCATAATTGTACGTTTTTTAGGCCGAGTACAATAATCTGTTTTTTCTGAATTTAGAAGCAGAACATTGTCTTATAAGGTGTGAAAAGCATGTGGGTCATTATTAGCAGAAGCTTCAGGTGAAACCATTGCCTCAGCCTGTCATGTGACCCATTGAGATCAACTGACGCAAGATGTGAGTGGATGTTAAGGTGCCTGGAAATACCTCGGACTGTCCACCATTTGGTCTTAAAACAGAAGAAGCTTTTCAATGTCTTCAAGAAACTTAAAGAACAAGAAGCCTGGTTGCTTTTCTTCCCAAGCTCCTTGGGTTACCACGACCTGGATGAGAACCTGCACAGGCATTTGAGTTCCCTGTGCAACTCCAGAATAAACGGCATGCATTTCTTTTTTCTTTAAATAATAAAAACCTGAGTGGAATCTTGAATGTTGACATTGATACGAGAATATTAGTGTTTGGGTTTTTTCGCCATTTTTAAATAGTAATGTTTTTTTAATGATGTATAGAAGTACAGTAAAAAGTGCTTCTTAACATCTGCCATCAGAGACAATCTTTGTTGTGCTTTAGCTCATACCATGAGCGTACTCTTTAAATAAGATGACCCAGTTCTGGGTGCATGCTAATAACAGGGTTACAGTAATACAGTGTTTAACCGGCCACAGGCCTCTGTAAAGTCCAGATCCTAGTTACAAATGCACTTTATTTTTTTCTCTTTTCATTTTTTGACTGTCCTGTTTCCTGACAGGCCCTGGGGAGGATATGGGAGCAAAGGTGTCATTGGTGGAGGATACTGGGCCCTGTTCTACACTGCTAACTCACCCCACTTTTAAAAACATCCAGGCAGCATATGAAGATGGAGAGGAGGACGTTGCCAGGGAGCTGATTCAACAAGCATGCTGTGTGGTGTGCAGTGCTGGGACACCGCGCATTGATGGGGTAAGTATCACTACACTGCTGTGTAGGCTATAAATATAAAATCTCTTATGCAAGTTTGGATCTAGTGTTACAGTGGTACGCTGGTAAGTATGTGCCTAAATTACAAATAAATATAATTTATAATAAATAATTTATGAATGCAATTATAAATTAAAATGGACTGTTATTGTAAAGTACTGAAAATTCTTTATGGAGTAAAAATAAAATAACATACGAGTATTTGTATATACACATTAGGGACTGATAAGAATTTAGCCAATCCACTTTGAGCGTCACCACCAATGACTGTTTTCTGCAGTCATTGGTCACCACCATCTCTAAGCAGTATATTAAAGACATTCACACAAATTAATTACATGCTGAGTCAAGTAGTGAATCGCTTCCACTTTGCTCAGGGTCGCTTCTCTGCCTTTTGTGGACGTGGTTCAGTTAGCTTCATTAGGCGGTTGCGTCCATTACACATTGGAGCGTTAAGTGTTGAGACCCTTTGCTACAATCCATATCCAAGGCCATAGTTATTCAGTATTCAACTGCTACAACAGCAGTTTTCAGCTCGTGACTCTGTTTCTCTCTGGAAATGGGCAGGCAGTAAAACAACTACTAGCCCAGGAAGTCCTCCTAATTCCTGGGAACTATCATATCCCAGCAGAGGGATATCAAAGCAGAGAATGTGCTTCCTGCACCAGCTGGCAAAAATAAACAAAAACTGCCCAAGTCATTAGTGGTGCAGTTTTACTTCTCCATCAGTGAATCTATCCTCACCTCCTCTGTCACCATCTGGCATGCTGTTGCCTCTACCAAGGACAAAGGCAGACAGTAGCATGTCATCTGCTCTGCTGAGAAGGTGATTGGGTGCAACCTGCCTTGCCTACAAGATCTGTACACCACCAACACACTAAGAAGTGCAAGGAGGATTGCTGCCGACCCCTCACAGCCTGGTCATGAACTGTTTGTGACACTCCCCTCTGGTGGAAAGCTGCCCATCAGAAGCAACACCTCACAGCATGACAGTAGTTTCTTTCCCCACGCTGTGGGACTACTTAACAATGCACCCTCACCCTGATCACTACTTCATTAAAGTAACACACACTACTTCATTTGCCACACCCACATACCTCTGGGTAACACACCTGCCTTGGGGGCAGGTGTGTTACCTAAGGAGCTTGGAAAGAAAAGCGACTGACTTTCTTTAATTCTTTAAGCGAAGTGAAACATCTTCAAGAAATGTATAGAAGTCCCGTCACTTTTTTCCAAGCTTCTTGGATCACCATGACCTGGATGACTGAGAAGCGTTACAGGTATAGTGTAATGAAATTTCCAGATGAATTTTTGAAGTCTTGTTTGGTCTTTAATGGATTTTTTTTCTTATTTCTTGGGGATATTGCTTTCATTGTGACTGGCGACAGCAATAATTTTGAGTTGGTTTAGGTAATGAATGAAATGCACTATATGGACAGAAGCACAAGGCCACCTGCACTTCTATAGAAGCTGCTTAGACATGGAAATGCATGCCATAAGGCTTCCTTAGAGTTTTTGTACTGATGTTCGTGTTTGTAACTCTGTAGTCATCGAGTCAGCTAATGATTTTTATCCATTATAAGCCTCGGTGCTGGTTAATCCCACTCTACAACTTTGTTGGTTGCCAGTTCGTGGCTTAGTTGCTGTAGTACCTGCACACTTCTACTTTGCAATAATACCCCTTGCAATTGATTGCGGACTATCTAGGAGAAATTTCATGAACTGACTAGTTGCAGCAGTAGCATCCTATAACAATACCACCCTTAAATTTACTGAACTCTCTACAGGGACCCACTTTTTCGCATATGTTTACAAAGGCGGAGTGCATGGCTAGGGCAAAGAAGTTTGGAAATATGTGGGGGAGGGCCAGGCACATTCTGTCAGAGCAAATGTAACAGTTTCCAGTTTCATTTGGCGTCTATGGTAGTTATAATGGAATATCTACAAAACTCATAATTATAATTATATGTCTCACCTGTACTACAAGTGACAAATAACGAGACATGTCAGTCAGAGACTGCTAACAATGGTGGTTGTTGTTCTCTGTTCCAGCAACGACAGGAACAGGTGAAACAGGAAATATACTTGCCATTGCACAAAGACAGAGATTCATAACTGGAGAGAGGTTTCACATTATTATTTTATTATAACGTTATGACGTGGTAATGTTGTGAAACTCTGTGCAAGTATAGCAGGGTATCTGGAGGCGGAAAAAATAAAAACGTTATTTTGTGGCACAGTCGCCAAGCTTGAAAAACCAAAAATCTATTTATAGGTGTGAATGGATGGAGATGCACATCAATTTATATTTCAAAATGATATCTGGTCTATTTACTAAGAGGACGACTGTCATCAAGGCAGCAACCTGTTTTACTCGTGGTGTGTCACAGTGTCACTAAGACGAAGGTGAATCCAACACAATCTAAGCAACTAACGTGTAATCATAATAAAATTAAAGGACTTGGCATAAGATATTGACACAACACACCTAAAAGTTAAGCTATTATGCACAGGTTACTTATTACACCCAGTAACAAGCCCACTGGGGGGTGTTATAATATACCTGCAAATGGATAAACATCAGTTTCACAAAAATCTGTGCTATCCGGCTATCTCTCACCATCTGCTATAGAGAAATATTATGTTTGAGTAAACAAAACCCCAATTGATATCAATTTATGTGTTTAGAAAACATTTGTTAAGTTTTAATGTGCTTGTTTGTGTCTGATTGAGACCCCCTGTCTGATTCTAGTTGACTATGCTCCACCTGTGAGTAGAGCTGGGCGATATGAGATTTTTTCATATCACGATATGTTTTTTTCATTTCAGGCGATAACGATATCTATCACGATATACAGCCAAATAACTATATTTGTAAGATTTAAATGTGCCGTTGCTCACAAGTAAAATGTGAAATAATCAGCAGCTTGTTTTTATTTAAATATTTATTTCCCATAATAAGTTCAACAGGGTAGATGTACTTAAGGAACATGAGACTTTTTCAGATAAATAAAGGCAAATATTGCAAACTACACAAAAGGCAGCCGCTAAAGCGTTTAAGTTTCAAAATAGAACAAACGAAACAGACTAAATTGTCAATTCCACTTAGAAACAAAATATTAATTCTAAAAATAAATCTTAGTTTGTTTTACAGAAGAACAGACAAAACTGACTAACTTTTGTCAATATCAAATAAACTGAGAACTAAAAGGAAATTCTCAATCTCTCCTTGTTGTATAGCTGTAGCTTTTCAAACAGTTTTAACAGTTACTTTAGTCTGACAAAAGCCGAATGACGAATTAGCGCTTCCAGTCAGAGACTGAGGCTACGTCCACACGTACACGGGTATTTTTGAAAACGGAGATTTTCGTTTCGTTTTAAAAAATAATCCCGTCCACACATAAAGGCAGAAATGAAGGAAAACGCTGCTATGAACATGCCAAAGCAGCAGGTGGCGCTAGATTCCTAACCGTGCAGAAATGTTGGCCAATCAGAAGTCTAGAAGCCTCGGTGGGAAAAAGTAAACAAAGCTGGGGCATAGAAGCAGAACCGAGTCGTATGTGTGGAGGGACAGTAACTGTGTGTATATGTAAGCATTTAAACACTGCAGAGAGTAGAATTAACAGTAATATTGTAGAAATTCATTTCACCGAAACAATAACGTGGCGCACAGTGTGACGCATGCACCAGTTTATTGTATTTCCAGACTTGCTTTCGGCACAATTTACAGTGCACGCTACTCTGTTTTTTGTCAGACTTGAAATAGCCGAAATACCTTCACACTACGGAACTTCTATGGCTCTTCCGTTCGACAATCTCTCCGGCGTTGGAACCATCATCTGTTTTCTCTTCGGTCACGCTCGGTTGATTTTTCTAGTCGGCACACTCATTTCCTCCATTACCCGCTGGCTGCTTCCCAAACAAACACACGTGCGGCTTGGCACTTGTGCTGTACGTAACAAGTCACGCGACGTGACGCTGCGGCTGTGATTGGTTCGGCTCTGCGCTACTTAATTTGGATTGGCTGACCTTTTTTTTTTTTATTTTTTTTTTTAAGAGGACAAGAGCGGCGAGGTCTATCGCGATAGCTTAATTTCTCTATCGAGTAAAAGTTATATCGCGATACATATCGTTATCGTTCTATCGCCCAGCTCTACTGTGAGGCATGTGAATGAGTCTTATTGGATTTAAATATAAAGCTCATTGAGTACAGAATGCTGATTTTGGTTCCATTAGTTGGATATGTTCTTTAGGACTAAGGACCTCAGCTCTTTTATTCTTTATCGAAGCCTGTCTAATGTTTTTCATGGAATTTTTCCACGTGCCATCTTTAGGCTGGATGCATTTTGAGGATTTGCTAATTATTACATGTATTCAATTCAATTCAATTTTATTTATACAGCGCCAAATCACAACAACAGTCGCCTCAAGGTGCTTTATATTGTAAGGTAGACCCTACAATAATACATACAGAGAAAAACCCAACAATCATATGACCCCCTATGAAAGCACTTTGGTGACAGTGGGAAGGAAAAACTCCCTTTTAACAGGAAGAAACCTCCAGCAGAACCAGGCTCAGGGAGGGGCGGGGCCATCTGCCGCAGCCGGTTGGGGTGAGAGAAACCCCACTTAACTTTCCAAACATGCACTATATTATCAGAAGCGTATGCTTATCTGCTGTCACACACATGAACTTGAGTGACATCCCATTCTCATTCCTTGCATAAGGTTTAATATGATGTCAGCCCACCCTTTATTGTTCTCCAGGCAACCGCCAAACCCATATACATCCAATTGCTTGCAGACCGAAAAACATGATTAATTACTCTAGAGAGTACTTTTCCACTGCTCTAGAGTCCAGTGGGGGAGTGTTTTACATCACTGCATCTGATGCTTTGCGTTGCACTGGGTGATGTAAGCCTTGGATCCAGGTGCTCGTCTATGGAAGCCCATTCCATGAAGTTCTTTATGCACTGTTGTTGACCTTATCTGAAGGCCACATGAAGATTGGAAGTCTGTAGCGATTGACTCTGCAGAAGTTTGGCGACCTCGGTGGACAATGTAAGTTGGCATCTGCTTATCCCGCAGATATATGGCAATTATGATTCAGTAAAAGGACTAGATGTTACAATCCCTGATAATGCATTGCTTTAAATGGAGAGAATCTTGAAGGATGGCTGTTATGAGGAAAGGCAGCCATGAATTATAATTACGTAGTAAACAAAAAGTGTCATGTAACTCCAAACATGTTTTATATTTTAGATTCTTCAAAATAGCCATCCTTTGCTCTTCGCATTCTCTCCATGAGCTTCGTGAGGTTATCACCTGAGATTTTTTTCTGACAGTCTTGAAAGAGTTCCCAGAGATGCTGAGCACTTGTTGGCCCTTTTGCCTTCACTCTGCGGTTCACCTCAAACAATCTTGATTGGGTTTAGGTCTGCTGACTGTGGAGGCCAGGCCGTCTGGTGCAGCACTCATCACTCTCCTTCTTGGTCAAACAGCCCTGTAGGTGTGTTTGGGGTCATTTATGCTGTTGAAAAATAAATGATGGTCCAACTAAATGCAAACCAGATCCCCAACAGTGTCACCAGCAAAGCACCATCACACCACCTCCTCCATGCTTCACGATGGGACCTGTGTATGTACCATGCAGCTTTTCTGCTTCCCACAAAGACACAACAGGTGGAATCAGAGATCCCAAATTTGGACTCATCAGACCAAAGCACAGATTTCCACTGGTCTAAAGTCCATTCCTTGTGTTTCTTGGCCCAAACAAATCTCTTCTGCTTGTTGCTTTTCCTTAGTTGAAGTTTCTTAGCAGCTATGTGACCATAAAGGCCTGATTCACACAGTCTCCTCTGAACAGTTGATGTAGAGATGTAGAGATGTGTCTGCTACTGTGTGGCATTTATCTGGGCTCTAATCTGAGGTGCAGTTAACCTGTGGTTTCTAAGGCTGATGCCTCAGCATTGATCCTCAGCAGCAGTGGTGAGTCTTTGATGAATCTATTTGAAGTTATTTATCAACTTTTTCTTTGCTACATAATTCCATATTTTTTATGTCTTCAGTTTGTATCTACAATGTATAAAGTAGTAAAAAGAGAAAAACCACTGAATGTCCAACCTTCTGTGTGGTAGTGTTTATTTGAGTCTGTATATCTACTTTTGACCTTGTGTGGCTTATAGAAATGAAATTCTAACTTGTATATACAATTCTTTTTTTCATTTGTTTTCTTTTTGTCTTTTGTTTTTGAACGTTATAAAAGATGTATGGTGTGCAATCATTCCATCTTGGAAAAAGAACAATTCAGTGAACTCATTAAAAGTCTAATTGTTATGGAAATGTCTAACACCAAGGTTATCTGTTCAATTAGCAGTGTTGGGCAAGTTACTTTGAAAAAGTAACTAATTATAGTTACTAGTTACTTCTTAGAAAAAGTAACTGAGTTAGTAACTGAGTTACAAGATTCCAAAAGTAATTAATTACTTGAAAAGTAACTATTGTTACTTATTTTTTTAAAAAATGTTTAACCCTCTGAGGTCCAGTTTTCACTACTTTTGATGTTTCCTGTAGTTTCCTCTACAAATCAGACGCACAAGTTTTGCAAACAACAAAGTTATTTGCAGCCATTTAGCTTTTTTATAACCATTTCAAACTGTTTACATAACAATCAGGTGTTCTACATTCAAATTATTTGTGCCACTATAAGGGAGAACATCACAGCCTGACACTGCAGACAGCACTCTCTCTCTCTCTCTCTCCTCCCCCCCTCCCTCCTCACTCCTAAAACCAAATGTCATGTTGCCAGATCATTTGTTTGGATTGGTCGACATGGTGCATTTTCCCAACAAAACAAAAGGGCTGTTTTTGTTCATAAGCAGAGAGTGCTCGCTGCGCTGTCCTTAGACAGTACGTGATGAAACTATTCAGGAACAAACAGGCGTGTATATTGTTTATCATGACTCGGGTTTTGCGTGGCCTATCAACACAACTTAAAAACTGGTATATGTCACATTGTTGCTTTGTCATCTTGAAGTGGTCATGTGATTGGCTTACCACGACTACTTTATTCTTCTTTTGCCCCCTGAGCTCCGGGTGTTGTCCCAAAAACTGATCGTCTGTCAGAAAGTGATCGTCGTCCGCGGGAGCGCGCAGCTGCTTAAAGCTGTAGCGCCCAGATTACTTACAGCTGCTTCCGTGCAACTGATATAAGATGCAGTAAGCTGAAGAGGGTTCAACCGTCTGTTTGTTGAAGAATAGTAACGCGACCGCACCGCATTTTCTTGTTAACGGTAACGGCGTTGTAACGATAGAAATAGTAATTAGTTAGATTACTCTTGACTGAAAAAAGTAACACTGTTACTTGTAACGCCGTCATTCCCATCACTGTCAGTTGGTGACATATAATCACATCTAATTTCCACGTCTCGTTGTTTAGGCTGTGGGAGCTCTAATGTTTAAATGTGTCCAGGTGAGCTGTAACGGGGCAGTTGCCGCCTTTAGAAATAAACAGCAGCACTGAGGGCACACTCGATGATAAAACTATAAACTGGAAATAAAATGTTTGTGTTCCCTAATTCATCTTGTCCATTTAACAAGCGTTGCATTTTACTGGAATGTTTTAGCAATCTTTAGAGATTTTTATCCCGGTTTGATAACAGCTATGCAGTCAGCACTCACACTGATAATTATCTGTGAAAGAAAAGTCATGTGATCCATGAAACCCCTGTCCGTGTTGCCCTGACACTTGAACACACAGGGAACTCTGGGTTAACTTGGCAAGTTCCTTCATGTGTCTGTTTATCCTGATCTCCTATGTTAGCGTAAGTGAATATATAAGTGAAGATATCCTTTTTTCCTCATTTTTGTTTTAATTTACAGGTACGTCTCCTGTGTGTGGCCACTCAGTATGGTGATCGACAGAGTGTGTGTTACCTCCTCAAAGAGGCTTGCATCCCTGTGCCTCTGGAGCCATCTAACAGCAACCCTGCTGTTTTGGCAGCGCACTATGGCCACACCGACTTGGTCAAGGAGCTACTGGATCATGTTCCCGGTAGGAGTACAGCATACAGTCCAACTTTCATCCTATGTGGATATATAGATTCTCTATGTATTATTTTGGTATTAATTATTCATTATAAAATGAATGACCACCAACAGCGAAATGTTGGCCACTTGGTCCTTAACAGGACCGTGGCAAGTGCATGGACAACCTTTCAGATTTACACATCACAGCAAACAGTACGGTTACAGAGTTATTACCACGTACAAACAACTTGTAGGTCAAAGTAGCTATACATGTAAAAGAAGCCTGACCCTGCCATAAACCTGCTCCCCCAGCAAGTCACAGATCACCATGAGACAATACGGAATATTCACAGAAGGGTTATGGATAGTAACTCAAGATCATCTTCAGCAGATTAATGGACTAATAATAGATTACCTTATGAGTAAAAGAAAAATGGGGAGTTGCAAGCTGCAGCATTGATTGGACAAGTTCAGTTTGTAGCCAGAGATTGAATTGAACGATGTGCTCAAAAGCCGTAGCATTAAAAAAAAAAAAGATGTTAGTGAGAAGAGGTGTTTTTCTTAAAGTTGAATACCAGGTTGGCTAAAATGGCTGCTGCCACCAAGGCAAAGACAGGTGAGCTCCCTGGAAGCCTGCCTCAGGTATGCTGTTATCCACACCTGACCAGGTGTGGCCAATTAGCACCAGCTGAAAACATGGAGGAGATTAGGGGCTGCAGAGGGACGTAACAAACAAATTAAGGACTGAGAGGACTTCTGGTATTAATCAGGCCAAGAAACATAGAAAAGCAAATCATCAGCTTACAAACATTCTCCGCTCCAAGCCATTCCTCACCACACCTGCAGATTTGAGGATTACATCGGAGCACAATAGCTAAAGTTTCATTAGCGATTGCAGGGGATAAAAGTCTCAGTGATTGTTAGTGGATCTAACTGATGCAAGTGATGAAGAATAAAGTAGGCTCATCCAGGCTATGAATTTCTTTTCGAGGCTGAATTTCTCTCGAGCACGGAAAAGACGGTCCTGCTCTACTCTATCGAACGTGTTTTCAGCATCTAATGAGACATGAAACTTTACCTTTGAGGACGTTTGTGGGAAAAAATGTCATTTTCTTTTTAATTGTTTCAATTTCTTTGATTAGATTGAAATGGATGAAGGAAGAATTGTTTATGTTTTTAAGTTCAGTTCAGTTTAGCTTCATTCATATATACAGTCGCCTCAAGGCGCTTTATATTGTAACCCTGCAGTAATGCTGAGAAATCTGAACACTGCAAAAAGCACTTGGTCACATTCACAACTAACTATTTAATTCAAGGTTTTTGTGAAGAAAGCGCCATCTTTCAGCGACACTGTGTTTGTAGTGGAAAGAAGAGATGGGCGGGGACTGTAAACCTGATAAAGTAACTGGTGGGACCATGGAGGGGTTATTAAGGTTGTCTTGAACAGAAAAGGCAACAGTAGAGCATCTGCATTCGCCATGGCACATGATTTAGCAGTACAAACCTGTTTAAACTGGGAGCCTATTTATTATTTTTGATTTCATCAACTTTTCAAAAACAAATAAGTAACAAATCACTGGCAAACAATCCTGTTCTGACTACTCCGCTCTTGGTAGGTCCATGCCTGAGGAAAGATTTGCTCAACTCGATGCTGGCCACATCTTGCCAGGAGGGTCACCTTGATGTGGTTCGTCTGCTGGTCCAGAGCTATGATGCTGACGCCAAGGACTGTGCAATCCATAGCGATGAATTTGCTGTCATCACTGGCCTGCCACTGTATGCTGCTTCACAAGCAAGTAAGGATATACTCACACAAGAGTCTAGAAAGCAATAGAACAAATCACAAATTCAAAATAGAAGAAAATGTTTTCATCCTGGTAAATGATGATAGTGACAATTTTATTTATATAGCACGAGGTCACAAGGTCCCGACTCGATTCGATCCACGATTCAATTTGAATCGAGGAAATTTTGCCTCAGACAGTCAGAAATATTATAATTCTGATCACTTATCAGTACATATCTATATTTTTGTATCTATAA